TCGGCCCCGGGCGCTCCTGCCGATGTGAAATGTTGGTTTCGGTTTCGGGAGGCCTTCGGGTCATCCTGCGCCGCCCGAGCGGGCCCAAGATCGCTTCCAGGACGGTCCCGCGGAGCCCCGACACAGCCCAAAGCCGGCCCATGAGCGCTCAAAGAGGACGCCACGGTGGCTTCAAGACGGCCAAAGAGGCCCCCAAGACTTCTCAAGAGGCCCCCCTGGGGACCCCCAAGCCACCCAAATCTTCCAATGCCCCGAGGAGAACGTACATGTTCAACATGTTCGCTTCTTTGGTCGCCACGGCGTCCAAGACGGCTCAAGAGACCCCACAGATCGCCTCAGGGCGGCCCAACAATTCCCCCAACGGGCTTCAAGACGGCCCAAAAGCCTTCACGATTGCCCAAGACGGGCCCCAGAGGGTCCCAAAACGCTCCCAAGGGGACCCCAAGAAGGCCACAGGAGGCCCCCAAGACGGCTCAAGAGAACCTCAAGAACGCCCCAAGACGGCCGAATCCCCCCAAGACGGCCGAATCCCCCCAAGACGTTCCAAGAGGGTCCCGGGACGGCCCATAAGGCCGTCTGGCCTTGGGCCGTCTTGGGCGCTTCTTGGGCGCTTCTTGGGGCGCTCATAGGCTGTCTTGGGGCCTTATAGAGCCACAAAAGGATCTCAACGAAAGCCCTGATGGAGGCCACTCTCATTTATTTTCGCGAGGTTGCGTGGTAGATGTTTTCAATCACGTGCCAAAGTTTAAATAACCAGACTCTCCCAAACCCTGAACGCGCGATCTCGCGCCCTCACACAGTACGAGCGGCGCAACTGGCTTTCAAGGGGGCCCCGAGACGGCCGAAGAAGGCCGCGAAACTGCCCACATAACCCCACACGACGGGTTCAGATGGCGCTATGAACCGTTCGAGCCCTATGAGCCCTATGAGGCCTACGATCCGTATGAGCCCTCCACGAGGCCACCGAGACGCCTCTCCCCAGAGCCCTCTGATGCCCATGAGCTTTACGGGCCTATGGCCCCGGTGAGGTCCTGAGCCATACGACACCTATGAGCCCGACGACTGTAACAGCTCTTCGAGCCGTGCGAACCCTACGACCCCTCTCAGCGCCACGCGTCCTCAGAGCCCCATCAGCCTCATCTGCCCTGTGACCCCTACGAGCCCTCTGCAACACGTACGCTCACGAGCCCAATGCGCGGTACGACCCTGTGCTCCTCACGTCCCCATACGCCTTCTAACCCCTACGTGTCCCATCATCCTTATCAGCTCATGAGCCCTACGACCCTTCCCAACCCTGTTACCCCTACGACTCCTATGGGCCCGTGTGCGCTCAACGAACCCCCTGAGGTACCTCTGCCATGAGCTCTACGAGCCTTTCGATCCCTACGAACCCTGGGCCACATGAGTTCCACAGCCCTGCGAGACCTACGAGCCCTATGACCACCTCTTCCTCTCCCCTCTCTCCCGCCTCTCTCTGACCCCTCCGCCTGCTCGGTTTCAACGCCGTTCGACGTGGCAACAAACTAGCCATCCAAACGCAAAAAAACGAGCCCCGTGAGCTCTATGAGGCCTACGAGCCGTAGAAGGCCCCCCTGCCCTACGAGCCCTATGAGCCCCACGAGCCCTATGGGCCCTACGCGCTCTGCGAGCCATATGACCCCCATGGGCCCTACAGTACGAGCCTCTTTAGCCCCATCGGCCCTATGAGCCCCATGAGCCCTATGCGCCCTACGAGCCCTGTGAGCTCTATAAGCCCTATGAGCCCTATGAGACCAATGAGCCCGACGATGCCTCTGAGCCCTACGGGCCCAATGGGCCCTATGGACCGATGTATGGGCCTCATAAAGCCTATGAGCCCTATAAGCCCTATCAGCCTCATTGGCCCCATGGCCCGCGCGACTCCTGAACACGTCAAGAGCCCTATGAGCCGTATAATCCTCGTCGACCCTATGAGCCTTATGACTCCGACGACCCGTTCTGAACCCGATGGGCCTCCTGGGTCCAATTAGCACAATGACCTTCATAAATCCCATGAACCTGGCAAACCCCATGAGCCGACCCGCCGTGTGGGTCCCAAGAGCTAGTGGCTTCGGTGAGGCCAAGGACCCTACGAAGCTCTACGCCCAATGATCTCATCAGCCCGAAGAACCCTCAGAGCTCAAGTACGGCTGCGGGCTCTCCGAACCTCATGACCCCGGGGAGCCGCGCTGCCCGAAATACCACTCTTCCACATTCGCAGTCCTTGCTGTCGGGCCTCCATGGCGGCGGAAAGCCCTTCAGACTTTTGACCCAGAGGAGACCATGGGTCCTATCAGCCCTGTGTGCCCCATGGGCCCCATTGCCGCAACACACACACACAGCGGTGCTCGCGGCGCGCCTCGCTGGCGTCATGCGACCAAGATGTTAAAGGCGAAGAGAAACGAGCCCGTAACATTCCGTATGCGCATATCTATCCGATACCATGCCGCTGGGCACGGAATGGGCGTGTCCGCAGGTCCTCTGCCCAGTTCCCCGAGCCTCAGCCCTCACTCCCCACTGGTCTCCAAAGGGGCCTGGACCCAAAATTCCGAAACCTCCTGGGGCTCGGCGCGTGCCCCCGGGGCTTTGCCAAATGGTGGCGCGCGGCTTTTCGGACCCAAGAGGCCCCGAAGACGGGCCAAGAGGGCCCCGAGTCGCCGAAAGATCGCTCCAAGATGCTCAAGACGGACACCAGACGGCCCAAGAGGCCCTCCAAGACGCCCCAAGAGGCCTCCCACGCGGGCCCCAAGAGGCCAAATTCATTGATTGTCCATGGGTTGTTGAAGGTTGTTGGCTTTCTCGCCTTTTCGGCCTCCCGACACTCCCAGGCGGCCCTAGAGGTCCCCATGATCGCCCCAAGACTGCCCAAGAGGCCTCCAAGAGGGCCCCAAAATGGTCCTAGAGGGCCCCAAGACGGCCCGAGAGGCGCCCAAGACGGCCCAAGGGGCCCCCAAAGACAGCCCCAAGAGGGGGCCCATTGGCGGACACGAACGTACGTTTTGAGCCCTCGGCCCCAAGAGGCCCCCAGGATGCACCAGGAGGCCCCCAAGAGGCCCCCAAGAGGCTCCGAGAGGCCCCTAAGAGGCCCCCACGAAGTACTCCGGATCTCATAACAATGGGGGGGAGGGTCTGCTTCTGGGGGGGGGTCTCACGGGCTTCGTCAAACACATTTGTGGGGGGGTCCTGATTTTGGACCTTTTGTTGCCTGTCTTGGGGGGGGGGGTCCCAGACCGGCCGTCAAATACTTTTTTGACCCCCCCCACTATTATGAGATTCGGAGTATCCAAAAGGCTCCCGAGAGGCCCCCTAGACTGCTCCCAAGAGGCTTCCGAGAGCGCCGCGAAGAGACCCGAAGAAGCATCCCTGAGAACTCTGACCCGCAACCCAGGCACGGTGGCGGGATGGGCAGAAGGCCAGTTAACATATTTGTAGATGGCCGGCTTCTTAAACTCTGAACACCCACATGCTGCCATCTCCAGGGGGCGCGTGTTTTACTTCCGCCGGCTTCCGCCGGCCTTCCGCCAGATTCCGCCGGCGGAGCCGCCCCCGTTTTACTGCCGCCGCCTTCCGCGAGCCTTCCGCCGAGGAAGAGATGGCAACTCTTTCGATCTTCGAAGGCGAGGCCCTTTCTGGAACGCCTCATACTATCAGTCCCCATTTAAGGAGGCCCTGAACTCTTTCGTTCCCTGCCTCGCCGGTGTCTGGCACTCTGCAGAGCTACACAAACCATTCAGGCCAAAGCGCGCGATCTTCCTGAAAAAAGTTCAGCGCGCCCAGCAAAGCAGGACCCGTCTGGCCGAGGAGTGAGGTCGCCCGCTCAGTTCCCCTTGTCCGTATGGTCGATTAAAGTGTCCAGTGTCGCGACCAGGCGATCTTCAGAACTCCACTATCGATGCTTAGCTCAGTACTGCAGCAGCCATAGCGTAACCTAGTTAGCTAGAAGACTAACGAACTGATCGACTGAAGATGAAAAAGAACCAATCGAGAGGAACGACCATCTTCAAGGCTTCTCGACCCCTTCTCGGACCTTTCCAGGACCTCTGGGTGCCTCGCTGATTATCAAGACAGGAGAGCCCAGAATCGAATCGGTAAATCGGATCGGCGAAAATCGGCACTCAAGTCGGGAGGAGCCGAATCGGCGGAAATCGGCAGGCTAGTAAGACCTCCATTGCGAAATCGAATCCAAATCGGAATCCGCCGAAATCGGATCGAATCGCAGGGATCGAAATGAGCCCTACAAAATCCTCGCCACTCCAAGCTCTCGGAAGATAGGCAGAGTTCAAACAACGCACCAATAATCGCGAGACGTGGCGCGCGCCGAGCTGCCGCACATCGAGGCGCGCGCCGGCCCACCGTTGGGTGGACGAAAATCGAATGCTGCATATGCAGCTCAGGAGGCGACTATTGGAAGCTTTTCGCAGTGAGCACGAGGAGCCACGAAGCCCGATCATGGGAGCGCGAAGCCGCACCGGGCCAGAATCATCGAGGGATCAAGCCCAATCGGACGGGACGAAGCCGGATCATAATGGACTACCTGGACTACTCTGGATGAGGCCGGAATCTAGGCGCCGAGGCTGACCTTGCCCTCCCAGGAATTTAGAAGAAGAAGAAGAAAAAAAAGAAGAAGAAGAAGGAAAAACATAAACATATACTTCTGGCGCTCCGCGCTGATTTCTTGGATCTGCTCTGGATCCCCCTCCCTGGCGCGCTCCGCGCGCCAGGGCGGCGTCGGAGGCGCCGCCGGGGGGGCCCAGCGCGAATCCAAGAAATCCACGCGGAGCGCCAAAAGGGTATGTCTATGGCGTTTATTCTTCTTCGAAAATTGGCATCCTAGTGTCTCATGCCCTCCCAGGGACTGGCATCCATGCCCTCCCAAGAACCGTGGCATCCTGGTGTCTAATGCTCCGCCGTGTGCACCACTCTGTGAACAAGAATGGCGAATGGCGCGGCCTTGTCGGCCGCGCGCACGGCATGGGGCGGTCTCAGGCGTCCCCGTGGCCCATGGCCTGTCCCCCCCTCCTTGGCGAGGGGGGCGAGGGGGGAAACAAGGACGAGGAGGACGAGGAGGACGAGGAGGACGAGGGGGACGAGGGGGACGAGGACGAGGAGGGCGAGGAGGACGAGGAGGACGAGGAGGACGAGGGCGGGGAGGAGGACGAGGGGACAGAGGGCGGCGCGCCAGGTCGGGACCCCAAGCCGTGCGGTGGCGGGCCGCGCGGCGACCTCGGAATCCCCCAGCGACCTCACCGCGAGGTCCGTCGACGCACGGCCCTTCGGGCCTCGGAGGCCCCGGTCGCCCGAGACGTCCTCGGAGAGCGGCCCGAGTCCCCAGACCGCGCGGTGGCCCCAAATCCCCACAGACCCACCTCGCGGTGGGGTCACCACACCGCTCGGGGGCCCCCAACCCTTGGCCTCCCCTGGGCGGAGGTGGAGCCGGGGGCCGACGAAAACGCGGTCACGATTCATACTCGGACTCGCTGTGGGCATCGGCTTCGCAAGATTCACACAGACGAAGCAGGGCAAAACTGATCTGGAAGTCCCTGAATTGGCAATTTCCAGCCAAAGTCATGCCAGAGAAGATCAGAGAAGGAGGCGGATGAGAAAGAGTAAGGAGAAGGACGGCGACGAAGACAAGGAAACGGGGGGATTGAAAAAATAACGGAGGAAAGGGAAGGTGGAGGATGAGAAGAAGACACGAAGGTGGGACAGGATGTCTGCCTGGAACGGTGGCGGAAGATGAATGAAACTGAGGGGGCGGAGAACGATTATGGTGGTGATTTATCAGAGGGCCGTAGAGGTAGACTTGCCCTGGAAGCCGCGGACAGTCACTCACATTGAGCTTGACACTATACATCCTTATGCATCGGTACAACAGTTGGGCACGCCCCCTCAAATCCGTACGAGATGCTGGCAGATCTAGAAGCAACCGTTGCCAAAAGAAGGTCGAATACGTCAAAACGTCGACGCGACGATAAATCAACCCGCTTGAGCAGCCGACACACCTAGTGATAGCAACCCACCCTAACTCTGGAATGGTGCTAGAGAAAGGTCCATACCGAAGCCCACCTCGATGACCTTGCCTGAAACTGGAGCTACCAGGGGACTGCCCCGCTCTCCAGGCGTAGGTTGGTACTCGACAAAATGTCTGACCCGATGTGAAACGTAACAAGGAAGAAATCCACCCGATCGTCGAACGAAAAGCCGATGGAAGACGTCGATCTCCTGCGATCGTAGCCCCGCGCGGGGCGGCGTTGAAAGAGAGACGTCGTTTGATGCAGCCCAAGCCCTTGATCCGCCAGGGAACCGGGGGCCAGGCGCCCCGCTCAGGGGGCAACCACTTGATACGCCTCAGGAGAGCTGGCAACGCGGGCGCCAAACTCTCCCGGCGACACCGTCACGATGCGGAGTGGGCGCCAGCTCGGCGCCGGCGCCGCTGCCGCTGTGCACGCCGCGTGGCGTCGCTCATGCTTCGATGGGTCGGCTGCCTTTGCCGCTGGGAGGTGGCTCGTGGTGGCCACCTTCGCCCAGTCGCGCACGTGCATCTGCTACCACTCGTCGTCATACTCGCTCGGGGAATCCTCAAGATCGGCCCACGCCATTCTCAAAGAGACCCTCTGGCCGCCGTCGCCGTCCTCGACAACGACCTCGTGGGACTCCTCGGCCTCGGCCTCGGAGTCGTCAGCCTCCGTTGCGGCCTGCTTGGTTGCGAAGACGTCGTCGTCGTCGTCGTCGAGCTCGAAAAGGACTCTCGTTTCGGCCAGCGCGGCCGCGACGTCGTCCTGCTCCTCCGGTCCCAGCTCATCAGTCTCGCTGGCGGCGTCGTCAGTGTCAGTACCAAGTAGTGCCCTCGCTTCGGCCAGCGCGGCCTCGTCAGCCTCGTTGGCGTCGGCGTAGTCGGACTGCTCCTCGGAGTCCTGCTCCTCGGCCTCGCTAGCGGAGTCGTCAGCGTCAAGCCCGAGAAGAGCCATCGCGTTGCGTAAGGCCTCGGCCTTGATGTCGAAGAAGGTGTCTGGATCGTCCACCATCAGCTTGAGAACCTTGGGGAGGGACAAACGGCTTCGCCGGTCCTCATCACAGCCTGGTTCCTCAACCAGGGAGTCAAATTCACACTTCTCCTCGTAGTACTCGTTGGAATCACGCTGGAGCGCCTCCTGGACCTGTTTCTCTCCCTGGGTGCCGAAACGGCACTCTTCCGGCTTCGTCGGCCCCCTCCCCAGAAGGGGGCCCCACGCTTCCGCAAAGTCGGATGCCGAGAGCCGGCCCGACGGCGTTTGGTGGCGCTGAGCTGCGCCTGTGCCCCCTGGGGCGCGTTCGACCACCAGGGATGGCGC